AATGCCGATTGGTGGCTGACTTGAGCCTGAGTTAGAAAAGTGGTTTTCTGTTTTGGAAACCATGAGTTTGCTGAGGAAGGAGGGGAAGGAGGGAAGACCATACCAAAGTAGCTAAATATTCCCCCAACATAACCAAACCCATGTTTCTGCCGCCCCTTGGGCCAAATTGCAATGAAAGTGTTCAAAATTTAGCTTTTGTACTCTTTAATACTTGGGGGACATCTTGGTGGGGGGGGTCCATTTTGGAAACCAGGCTCGTCCCCCCCCATCCAAAGCCCCTGGGGGGTCTGGCTTCATGCCTGCAGTACTCGGCTTACACACTAGGTGGCAGTGCCCACCACCACTGCCACCAATACCACCATACCTGACTCAGCCACATCAGCAATGTCCACCCCTTGCTCTTGTGCCATGAAGCCCAGGATGGAAAAAATTGCGAAGCCAGACACAAAACTGGTACCACTGTTCAGGCATCCCAGCAGCATACAGTCCCTAAGTTACACATATGTCAGGGAGCAAGTTAATTCACAACACAAGGAAGCCACGCTCCCTACTTCTTCTCTTTTTTCTTTAAACATCATCATCATTTCTAAGGTCCACCAGGCCCGCTGGTGCGACACTTGCCTGTACGAGTTGTACTTGTACTTGTTGTAGCTCCCCAGTGAGGTCATGGCCCCCAGGCAGATGGCATAGGAGAAGAATATCTGGGTCCCAGCATCGATCCATACCTATTGGGGGTGGGGGCAGCGGCAAGGAAAGAGAGAGAAGGGGGCGTTAGAGCTGGTCTCCTAGAGGAGGTAGTGCGAGTTCCTGGCCACCTGGCCATCAAGGACTGCACCTCGAAACGTGCAGATTCCCGACTGCAATTGGAGTGCCTGTGCTGAAAACCAAGGTGCCTTTCAAGACAACACCGAGCTGTAAGGAACCCCAGAAGGTGACTACTCAGCCACGAGGTTGAGAGGCTGGACTTTTGAAGCAGATGGATCTCGATTCCAACCACGGAATCACAGTGCGCAAGTAAATATGACTCCTAGAGCCTCAGTTTCCACATCTGTAAAAGGGGACCCATGGCTCTGCCCCACAGAGCAATTTTGCAGGTTCAGAGAATAAAGATGTAGCTCCGTTCCAAAGGGAAGCCTGTAAGTCAAGGCTGCTGTCATTACTGTAATTGTTACTGTCTGGGGACCCTGAGCTGGAGTAGAAAGAATTCCGTAACGGCTTATGCAGGCAAAACTGCTCTCCAGCACACCTTTATCAGGCAGGTCCCGATGGCCACAAAGCTGCCATCTCAGTGGTCCTCTGATCTGTCCAAGCCCCCTCCCACCTACCTCCTACTGAGGGTGAGAAGACAGTGAAGAAGAGAGACCCAAAGCAGCAACCCGAAGGCTGAGGATCCTGGGGACAAAAAAAAAAATCCTTCAATGGGCCAATAAAATCTCCCAGGGTTTTCTTCGACCCTCTGCAGTCATGTGGCTGAGTGCCAAGAGGTGGACGTTCAGTATCGGTCCCTTGACCTGCCAAGAGGTCACTAACTCTGAATTCCATCCTCGGCTAAGGAAGCCAGCAGCTCTCTCACCCCCACGATGCAGCCCTCTCAGCTGCGGCGGGCAGAGGCCAGATCTGAGAAGAGACTAGTTCAGAAAGACTTCTCTCTCTTCCCTGGCGCGGTGCCGAAATTAGACTATAATTGGCCTGCCTCAGGAGTCTTCGACATGAAAAGATACACACACAGCTGGAACAGCCCATGAGCACCGTGAATGATCCGCCGCAGCCCAGTGGAAAAGTACTCGGGGCTGATGCCCAGCTAGATTTGTGCACCCAAAAACCACAGCCCTGAGCAGGAGGGAGGACAGGCTGTGCCCTGAAGTACCTGTGGGTCCTCGAGGCGGCTGATGTCAGGGTACAGATAAAACTTGATGCCTGCGCCTGCACCAGGCAGTGTCAGTCCACGAACCAGCAGCACCAGGAGCATAGCAAACGGGAAAGTGGCCGTGAAGTAGACGACCTGTGAAGGATGAGAGGGATTCGGGGGAGACTGGATCACTTGCTGCTGTTAAATTCGAGCATCCTTTCCAAGGCTAGTGGGGGTTCTGTGGCCGAGCCTGCTGTTTCACTTGCTGTGTGACCTTGGGCATGTGGCTTAACTGCTCTGGGCCACAGTTGCCTCACCTGTAACCTGGATATAAGTACCTCCACCTCAAAGATTTACTGAGAATCAGTGAAAAAAATCCTATAAATATTTACTAAATATCTAGGCCCTAGAAATAAAGTGGCGGACAAGACAGAAAACAAATCCCTGCTCTTATGGAACTGACATTCTAGTGGGTAGAGATGGAAAGTACAAAATGAGAGAGTAAACTATCAAGTGTGTATGAAAAAGGCCTGGTCCAGTGGTTGGCACATGGCACTTAGTTCCTATTAGCCAACATATCAACTATTAGTACGACTCATGGTTAAAAATTAGATCAGTGTGGGTTCAAATCCCAGCTCTATCCCCTCGCTTGCAGTGTGACTTTGGGCATTAAGCTTAACCTCTCTGGGCCTGTTGCCTCATGTGGGAAATGGAGATAAGATAAAGGCCTTCATCAAGAGATGAGGAGGGGCTTCTAACCCCATCAAAACAGTACCTGCCTGGCACTTGGTTCTCAAAAACGGGGCCTATCGTTGACATTGTGGTTTTGTAGGAAGCACACAGGAACTTCTGGGAAGGAAACGAAGCCTCTAAAGCCCCTCACAGCCGGGATGGGGAAGGTCTCCACTTCCTTGGAGCTATGGGAGGCCCAAGGCCTTCTCTGGGTCACATGACACATCCCTCGCAGACCAAGGTCAACACAAGGTGAGCACCAGAGATGACCCGGGCTGGGCCTTCCCATCCTCAAGGGCCTGCCCTACTTTCTCTGCTTCTCCTCTCCTGAAAGCACTGGTCTCCAAACTTCCCTGGGTTCAATTCCTGTGGATGGATTTTCCCATCTTTTTCTTCACCATGAAGAGATTCCAGGTGGGGGTAATGCCTACAAGGAGCTCGACGGTGCATAGCTGAATGGATGGTGAAACCTTGATATTTCTAGCAGGGCGCACTGGCTGAGCAAGGATTTCCCAGGCACAAACCCATGTTGTGTTCACCATGCCCCCAAAATTGGTACATTGGCTGCTTGTCGACAGAGGGGAACTGAGGCTCGGCGGGGCTTAGAAACTTGGCCAGATCATCTGCAAAATGCAGAATCAGCACCCAGAGCCCTAAGACGGGCTCACAGAGCCCTTAGCTCTCTCTGACGGCCTGGGAGACCAAGGGAGGAGGGAAAAACCACCGCACAACCAATGTGCCCATTTTTTAGGTGAGGAAACTGAGACTGAGAGCAGGATGAATGTGCCCACGGTGTTGGGGGGAGGAGGCAGCACCAGGGGGTCACAGGGCACTGCTGGGGTGCAGGGAGGTAGCAGACACTAAGAGAGGGTGAGAGAACCGCAGACATCGCTTGGCTGGCACAGGAACCCTCGATGGAGCAGAATTCTCGGGTAGTCACCATCCCTTTGCGTAAAAACAACTAGAAAGGAGTTTTGGGAAAAAGGCAAAGAGGAAGCTCTCAGGGCCTGCCTGGCTCAGCTGCCCTCAGTCAAAACCACCAACCAGCATTTACTGAGCGCTTACTGTGTGTCTGGTGCTATTCCAAGTGCGGTAACTTCTATATGCAGTTGGTCCTGCCCTAACACTTTGAGGCAGGTGTTATTACTATCCGCATCTTGAAGGCAAGGAAGCTGAGGTCCAGGGAGAGCCCACTGCTTGCCCACACAGGTCACATAGCACTTAAGGGGCAGAGCGGGGACACGCCCCAGAGCCTGCCTTCAGATAACACACACAGAGCAGTAAAAAGCCCTTCCACATGCAGCAGTTTATTGCATCTCCCCAAAGACCAGAGGAAGGCTGAAGTCTGCGTGGGCGCAGGGCTGGCTTATTGCAATACCTTGGGCAAGGTATTGTCCTTCTCGGCACTTTACTTCCCCATCTCTGAAGGAGGAGGCTCAGACCAGATGAGCTCGGAGGTTCCCTCGGGAAGGGGAATCTGGGGGCGGAGTGGCCAAGAGGATCAACTGGGGGTCGCCCAGCTTGGGGTTCCTTTCCCCACCTCTGTCACCTCCCAGCTAGGCAGCTTGAGAGGAAATGCTCAATGCTGGGAACACAGTGAGCCCTCAACAAAGCCTAGCAGGAGCACTCTCCTGACGATCCTCAGGTGCTGGGTCCTACTCCTGCCTCTGCCGCATCCTCCTCTGGGGCTCAAGTGTCCCCAGCCACCCTAATTTTCTTCTCCTGAGGCAAGAACCCTCACCATTTCCCAAGGACAAGAGGCAGACGTGGAGGTTGGGGGCAGGGCAGGAAGCCCCAAAACGGGGGAAAGAAGAAAACCAAGTGCCCCACAGGCTACTCCTCCCTTCCTGCGCACAGGCTCCCTGACCAGTTCCCACCTCTGGGCCCTGCTGTGGGCCACACCCAGGGCTGCTGAACAATAGCCGCTGACAGCAGGCCATCCCTAGAGAGCAGCTACTTCAAAGCTGGCTGGGCCCCACTGGGCTGGACGATCAGGCTGTGGCCAGAGGGCTTTGTGTCAGGGACACAGGACACCACCAGGGGATGGGGGGGTGGCTTCCCTTGTTTTCCTGTATTTAATTTGTTTATCAAGCACTTATGTAGCACTTACTGTGTGCCAGGCACTACCGAAGAGCTTTACATGTGTTAATTCATTTAATACTCCCAAACTGGAAGAGGTAGGTGCTACTGTTACCTGCATTTTCTAGATGAGGAAACTGAGGCTCCGAGAGGTGACATCAGCTGTCTGGGGTTACAGATCTAGTAGGTGGCAGAGGTGGGATCTGATCTAGGCCGGCTAGTTTCGGGATCCGGTGTGTCGTGTGTGTTATGGTTTTCTTCCCCACATCAGAATAGGACAGCTCCACATGGTCACGGCCTCCCTTCCGCTGCCTCTTTGCAAAGCCACTCTTGTTGTGCAGAATTTGCTGCTCTGAGGACAAGCCCCTGAGAGCCATTCTCTCAACCTTTCCGTGACTCCCCCGGGATCCTTGCAGGAGACGCTGGTGCCAGCCGCCGCCAGTAGGCCTCTGGCGGTGGCCCAGCAGGCCTTGCCACGGGACGTGGTAGTTTTCCACTCTTCCTGGCAAACCTCTGTGGCTCCTCTGAGCCCTCGACCCAAATGCCCTGTGGCCCAATTGCCCTGGAAACTTCCAAGGACAACTCTTCCTCATCCTCTGGGGACAGTGGGGAGAAGGTAGCCCACAGGCAGGAGGGAAATGGGCTAGTTTCCTGCTGCCCTGAGCTTCCTTCAGGGGCGAAGGCCTGGGCAGGTGGGGCTATGGGTCAGTGCCCAGTACCTAAGCAGGCCCTGAGGATCCAACCCACATCCCACTGTGTGTGGAGTGGGGGGGAATGGCATAACTAGCTCATTTCACACAAGGGGAAAATAAAGCTCGGAGAGGGAAAGGGACTTACCCAAAGTCATGTAGCTTGTGGGGGGACAGATCGGAGACCCAAAACCAGATCTCGCTCTGATTGCCACCCCTGCTTTACTTCTAAGCTCTGGATAGAAGAGCTGTCCTGGAGGCTGGCGATGGAGAGGCACAGCCTCGGGACATGTCTGTGGTTCGTCCTCTATGGGTCCACAGGATGGTACATCCTGGGTGGGGGTCTGGACTTTTGTCATCTTCCTGGACCATGGTGGTTACAAATCTGATCTGTGGCTAGGGCTGGAAGCCATGGCTGGTGGTGGCTGGGCAGGCGGGCAGGCGGGCAGGCGGGCAGGCCAGTGGAGCGTGAGCCTAACCGTGTTTGTCTTGGCTTCTTGGGGCTGGCCCAGGCCCTGCTATTGTTCTGGGAATCACGCTTGCCCCTCAGGGGCCCAGTGCCGCTGGAAGAGATGATGTCTCTAGGAGCAGACTAGAGGGACCTTTGGCAAGTCACGTCTTCAGTTGGCTACAGTCGTAGCCTGGAACTCTCTGCTTTTTGTGCTGATTCTATTCTCCTGCCCACTCCATTGTGTCTCAGATTTTGCTCATTGTTCTTGGTAGACGTCAGCCTCCTCCATCAGACTGGAGGCTCCTCAGGGGTCTGGGTCAGACACAGCTCAGGGCCTTTGCATGAGCTGTTCTCTCTCCCTGGAATTCTTTCTCCTCCAAATACCCACATGGCTTGCCCCACCACTTCCTTGAGATCTTTGCCCGGAGTCACCTTGGTGAACCTTGCCTGGCCACCTTATTTAACATTGCACCCAATATTCCCTGTTCTCCTTCGCTGCATTATCCTTTCCCCTAGCTCGTGTCACTACCTTACTTCTATATATTTTACACATTCCCCTTGTTACAACTGATGATCTGTCAAGCTCTTGGACCACAGGGATTTTTGTCTGTTTTGTTGGCTCCTGCATGCCCCCCAGCCCCATTCCTACAACAGTACCTGGCAGATAAAGAGGCTCAAAACATACGACTACGTAAGTAAACAATCATGTCTTCAGCATTGCTCGGCACCAGAGCTCCACAGAAACTTCCTGAGAGATTGTCCTCTATGTGGGGGAACGGAGGCAGGGTGAGGAAGGGATTGGTGTTTACTGCACAGTCTGTGCCACAGGTCGTGCCGGGTGCCTAACACACTCATTCAACCCGACTACCGCCCCTTTTCGAGATGAGGAAACTGAGGCTCAGAGGTGAGGAACTGACCTCGGACAGGTCACTTCACCTCTCCCAGCTCAGTTCCCTCATTTAAAGAGAAGTGGTAATGAAATGGGATACCACAGATGGATGAGCTCCAGGGAGCTGTGGGAATAACTCGAGCTACCCTCTTCCTGCCAGTTCTGGGGGAATGAGGTAAGCGAGGAATATGTATGTGAAGATTTCTGAAGCCTGGTCTGCTTCCTTTCCGGATTGGGTTTTAGGGTCACGGGGTGGTTACGCCCTGAGAAACAGGAAGAGAGTGTGGTGCTCTCACAGGCACCCATTCTGCCTCTGCAACCGAGGCATCCAGATACTGCCCAGCAGATGCCCAGAGTAACTGCTGGGATCTGTTCAGATCCGCGATCTTGCCTAAGGGGCTCTTCACCCGGGAGAACATGGTCCTTAATTCTAAAGTCTGGTGCACTCAAGGCATCTTCTCCAAATGACTTTGCCACCCCCCACTGCTATACCTCAAATGCCACTTTAATGTACGCTTCTGACCTTTGGTGGCTTTTTAATCTTAGATTTTTTCCTCTATCAAGATGCGAATGACAGGGGAAATGACAGAAGGACTTGTAAAGGTAGGTCAAGCCAACGCCTTCACTATGGCTTAGGCCTTGGGTTCAGGCCCACACTGCTGACCACGACAGACTCCTCTGCACTGAGCTTGTCATCAGAGCGGCCATGCTATCAGAGTCAGTGTCTTGGTTTCCAGGTAATTATTCAGCTCTAATTGTTAACACAGACCATTTCAGTTATAGGCTAAAATTTTTCTTCCTGCCAATATATACCAGTGTATGCCTAAATCCTTAATTATAAGCTAACATTTTAATTATCAGCTACTGCGTGTGTTAATAGCTAACATCCTAGTCATCCTATAACATATTAATCGGGAGCAAATATTTCAGTCCCAGCTAACACTTTGGTTAACAACTAACATCTTGGTTATGAGCAAATGACTTAATCATCAGTGAAAGCTTTCCTTAATAAGGAACATCTTAGTTACCAGCTAAAATGTTAGTGGTAAGATAATTCAGTGAATCTGACTTAGCAGCAAAAATTCACGTCAGTGCTTCTCAAACTTCAAAGTGCATTTGGATTATCTTGGGCTCCCGTTCAAATGCAGGTTCTGATTCTGTAGGGCCAGAGCAGGCCCACGGGTCTGCATGTCTGACAAGCCCCTAGAGGTCCTGATGCTGCTGGTCAGGGCATACTTTGCAAAGCAAGGGTCCATGTTGTCTGTTGAGAGCTGGTAATTAACAACAGAGTTGCCGAAACACTCATGACCAGCTTAACTTATCTGTTATAACCCCAACATTAGTTATCTGCTAGCATCTGCACTACTACCGACACCTCGACATGGGGACCAGGGGTGTGCGGCAACTTGCACAGGCTCGAGGGAGGTGACTGTTCAATTTTCAGGAATTTTGCAAGCTGGTTGTTAAACCATCAAGAACTTGAAATCAGACATGGTGGGAGTCTTTACATCATAAAATTGGGAAATGCTACAAACCAGGGCTTTACTTGCTTTCGGAAGACGGGGTTGAGCAGCCCACACCCACTCCTAGGTCAGGGCCGGTTTTGGCAGAGAGGCTCACGGGGCAACAAGTACTCTTGGCTGAGGGGGCCAATTGCCATAAGGCAGGAGAAGGACAGACGAACAACTCACTTTGCCTGTGGACTTGACGCCCTTCCAGATGCAGAAGAAACAGACAAGCCAGACGAAAAGAAGGCAGAGAGCGAGGTCCCACTTCAGCGAGCCGGGGTTGTCGATTCCAGAAGACAAGCTCAGCACATTGCGCCTTGAATCAAGCAGAGCCACATGTCAGCGAGACCCAACCCCTGGGCAGGGGGAACGGAGACCTGGACTCCGACAGGCTATGGTTCAAATCCTGGCTCAGGTGCTGCAATTGCACACATCACCTGTCCTCTCCAGGCCCTGGAATTTCCATTGGTCTCAGGAAATAGCTAACCCCTGTCACAGAGTTGTAGGGAGGTCAACCAGGGGATGAATTCGGACTCCTAAATCAGGCAAACCTGAGTTCAACCCAGCTTGGCCTCAGACAAGTTAAATAAACCCCTAAGCCTCAGTTTCCTCATCTGTAAAATGGGTACTGATTCCCATGTGACCGATTCTCAGCAGACCCTTCTTCACTGGGTTCAAACCTGGCTCCACCGTGTAATCACTGACTTTGGGCTAGTTACCCAACCCCCCCCCCCGACCTTAGT